AGATTACGATTGACAGTCGGATTATGGATGACCTCGTTGGTCATCCATATGGTCTTGTCCGGATACCGACGCCTCGACTCGTAAGCTATTGCAACGGCTCTTTCTACTCCCCAGCAGAACCCTACCGAGACAACACCAAAATCAGAATGTACTTGAGGTATTCGATAGCAACCAAAACCGAATCGGTAAGCGCCGAGTATTCCGGTTTTCAACCAACTAATAGGGCGTTGAGGATATTCTAACGAGACTTTTTCTCACGACCAGTGGTTTAGTACATATCCAATCCTATACTGTTGCCAAGGACCAGTGCTAGGTGGAGTTCCATCGACCCGACGTGTTGATATTACCATGCGCCTCAGCCAACTTGAAAGTGATATTGCCCACCGTCAGTGTGTAATCAGAAGATGACTGTATCTCCTCAACCAAAGTAGAATTGTGGACTTCCCTCAAACGCTGTCGCATCGCTGGAGTAAGACCATAGACAACTATCACAAATGGCTCTTCCTACTTCTGAGAGATGTGGCATCTGGCCGGTAGTATTTATCCGACCTCTGCAGCTGTTTTCGGAAGACCCATGGATCAGCTGAGGTTTCCTGAGCCAATCCTTGCGAGTACAATGGAGGAACATATGTACGCAGTAAGAAAATTCCGAGAAAATTTTACGAAAATATTGTTCGCCATTGTAAAAGTTGAAGTGTGTGAATTTCCTCGAGTTACTGATCAAAGCCCAGCACTGTGGGGATTGAACCCATCTCCCACCAGCGCAACTAACCTCAGCTTGTCGCCTAGTTTTACTGCTACTCCGACGGCCTCTCGCATTAATAATGCTGAAGATGCCCATTGACGCCAACACCCATTTCGTGAGCCCCGCAACGCTGGCGAACCATGACTCCGGTGCGATCGGATCAGCCGCTAAACAAGCCAATAAAATAGATGTTTTCCTACCGTAAATGACTCACTTTCACTGCGGGCTGCCAGGAAGGTCTGTCCACTGATGCTAGCTCCAGGTAGTGCCCTAGTGCTTGCCGAGCCCACGAACAATGGGAGTATTGTGCCCACACAGACTATACACCCGAGCAGCAGACTTACAGCCAATACTGCCAAGGTCCCTCTGCGGGAGGTCTTATGTCGACCGGCTCCACCCCAGCCTCCATGAGCCGTCATGATAAACAATAGGCGTCCAGACTGTCACTATAATTCACTACTTTTTCATTTCGAAAATAGTCTTTATTGGAGTCATGAAACCGAACACGACGACATCCTTTATACGATTGTGTAAGAACTAAACACAACCTCAGTGGATTTCGATAGGGTGGAGAAGTTCCCGAAATCGGAAGAGTTCAATTATTCTTCTCAGAGTAGTGTAGACAAACTTTATTTCTTCACTCGAATTCGTTTCTTCGACGCCATGGAGCTGGTCTCGGCCGCCCAAGCTGATGAAAAAAATGCAAACTCGCTCAAACTCGAAACCAATGATTCTCTCAAAAATCACTCTCAGGACAACATGCACGTATCAAACGTCAAAAATATGAAAACTGTGATTGCGAGTCCATCCTAGAGCTCATTCGAGAGCTCATTCGCGAACCTATATACGGCCTCGCCGAGACCGCTTACCACCACCACCACTACTACTACCTCCAAATTCGCTGTTGGTCCTCCCTCCATGAGCTAAAAGGAAACGATTGACCTCATAGTTCAGCAAGGGGAAGAGTCCTCACTCGAATTGAGACCATCCTCAACCTCGCGTAGCCTACCCTGGCATTGAAATATGTGATAATGCAAAGTACCTAGAGTAATCTAACCATGGAACACGAGACGGAGAATCTTTCGAGCGCGCGCAGTATGAATAATTTGTGCTAGTATTACGGTAATCTGTTTCGGCCATTGCAGACTGCATCTGCAATAGGGCGATTTGCTGATCCACAAATGCCTCCATTTCCTTGAGGTCCTCGAACTCCTCTCCATCATCAAACTGTGATGATCCCATATGAAGAAGTAGTCATGTCATAGCAGCAGTACCTCTTGGAAGAACGGCATGATAGCATCGAAAGACTCCTTAATAGGCTCCGTCATCCATGGCGGTCGATCCGTTAAAGCCACTGGTACCTTGTGCACCTCCCTACTGCGTTGGACCTATCACCATGATAAGAGTTGCTCTTGTAATCATCGCAGTATACTTCCTACTATAAACCGATCACTCAGCTATCGCCGTTTCCTCATCACTACTGACCTACTGCACTCGCGTCGCCCGAAACATTTCCCATTCTTATTAGTCCTAACCTTCCAGCATTGATCCGAAGTGATTCGATGCTTACATAACGATACAATTACCGCGTTACGATCACTAGAGCAAGTAGTTACAGTACGCGACATCCAAAACGCGCGATTCTAAAGTGCGCGTTTTAAATGTCGCGCACTGGGAAATTTCTCTATACTAATTATAACTTCGAAAATGCACCACACATGCGGCCATTCAGCTCTCACGTTATTATACAGTGTTGGAGTACATGTTCATTTTCCTGAGTTGAGCTCGGGAGTTTCCTTAGAATTCCTTAGT